GAAGACATGATATGTTTAAGTGTGACAAATTATCTTCTTGTGATATAAAATGTGATTTTTTTTTAAAGATTTTATTAGGGAATTGGGGGAGGGGAACAGTGTTGGGGAATCGGGGAAAGGGGAGCAGACAAGTTGCTGTCCTTTTTGTTCTTCAGTCTAGCTGTGGAGGATGTCGCTTCACTGGCTCATGTTGGTATTATCATTGCGCTCTTCCCGGGTGAGGCATTCACTCACTGGCTATTGGAAGGCTGCTCACGGCAGGCAGCTCACGGCAGCTCATGGCAGCTCAAGAAAGCTCATGCCCGGTGCCAGCCAGCCCCACTGCAGCCTATGCTGTTGCCGTCGACTCAGCAGTCCATCTCCAGGTCGAGCTATTGTTCATCATCTTAGCTGTACAGGGTGCAATGTCACTAGCCCATGTGGGATCCAAACTGGGGCTCTGCTGCTCAGAGCTGGCGTCCCAAGCCAACTCCTAAGCAATGTGCCACTTGGCCGGCCCTAAAATGTGATTTTTAAATTAAGGTAGTAAATGTTCATTAACAGTAAAAGGGAAAATAAAGGACAATAAAAGAAGGTTAAAAATCATAGTTCTATCACTCAAACAACCACCTTTAAAATATATTGATGTATTTTAATCCAATTAACATGTTTTCCCGATGGTCACAATGGTAATGTATCAGGGTTCTTGGTTGTACAGTGACTGGAGGTAATGGATGGGAGGGCAGCTTACCGAACTGATGGGAGCCTGGAGCACCAGAATTTGGAACAGGCAATAACCAACCAAAGGTATCCTGTTGGACCAGCAAATAGAAAGCAGGATGAAAAGTAACCTTAACAGCAGTGGCTGGGATGCTGTAGCCCTTAGCACAATACAGGTTCCTCTTCCCTCTCTGCCTGGTTGCGCTCAATCAAGATTCTGAGTCTCAAGAAAGTGTGTCTGATTGCTAGGGTGTGTCCTGGGCCTGCCCCTGGCTGTGCCTTGGGAGGAAGAGGGAGGATTTGACTTCTCAGCTTTTTAAAATGAGAAAGGCAGCCAAAGTACTATCTTTACTGAGTGTTTTGTATGTGTGCATTTGCCATGTTCTGAGTGCTTTCTTAAATTAACTCTCAAATCCTCACTGAAGTCCTCTGAGGCAAGTCCAATTCATATCCCCATTTTATAGTTGAATTACCAGGTGAGACACCGATAGGTGATGTGGCTCACCACTTACAGGAGGGGTTCTGCAGTGTGAATGCTCAGGCTTTAGGGCGTGAGTGTTTAACATCTCTGTTCTGTTGGGCCTTGAGGGGATGGGGGGAGGGGAGCAAGGCCCGCTTCCCACTGACATGGCACCCAATGGGGGATAGTGGAGTTGGGGAAATGGATATAACTATTACTAGAAAAATGATTCATTAAAATAGGCCCATTACAGATAGTCTTAAAATTATAATTATGTAATAGTCATATTTTCCGCTAATTTTATGTCTCCATATGAGTTTGTATTAATATATCTTAATAGTGACTGGTTTTGAACACATAGATCAACTCCTTTCAACCAGTTTTCCCTTATTTTAATGAGAGCTAATATTTATTGAATACTAACCATGTGCCAGGAACACTTCTCAGTGTTTCACATCATTATTTATTTTTCTCTTCACTAAATGGTTTTTTTTTTTGCATATTATATATCTATTTTATTTTTAAAAAGTGAATGATGCTAATGAAAATATAACTTTTAGTCAAATATTTAACTTTTGAAAGTTTGTTTTTTGCTTGTTGGACACAGTGTCAGCCTCATTGTTATTAAAGGTTACTTTAGTGTCTCAAGATCAGGAATTCAATACAGGTGCCATTTCTAATAATACCTAGAAGAGGACAGCAATAATAGGATTTTTGCCTCGATGTGTTAAGAATTGAAAGATTTATAACAATGGGGCAGTGTGTTTGCTGATATTTTTTAAACAATGCAAACACCTCTATCATAGAATTCAGTAGTGGAATTGGTTAAATAATGAATATTTGTTATCAAATAATATAGAAAGAATTCTCTGGTTGGTGGTTTCTAGATCAAAAAGTTAACAAGTTGGCATTTTATTCTTAATAAATTTTAAACATGATTTATATTCTTGACTACTTTATTTTTTAACCTTAAAATAGTATTTTTCTATATTTTACATTAAAGAAGTAATATATAATTAGTTAAGAAAATTCAAGGATATAAAAAAATATGAAAGGTTCTTCACATCGTTTCCCCTAATTGTACTCCTCTGAGGTAACTGCCATTGACATTTGACATGTATCCTTCTTAATCTTTTTTGTCTAAAAAGATCACACATGCGCACACACACAGAGTTTTATCAAATAAATTGGGATTCTATAGTTAATAGTAAACTATTGGCATTGTTTCATGTCAGAATCTCATTCTTTTGTAGAGTGGCATAGTGTTCCAGGATGTGGAAGTATCATAATTTCTCTATTAGTGTATAGTTGGTATTTTATCAGACTTTCACTATTTTGGATAAATCTGCAGTGGGCACCTTCTGCATAGGTCTTTGCTGATTTTGTGCTACTATTTTGTAGGATAGATTTTTAGATCTGGAATTGCTGATTTAAAGAGTGTGCACATTTAATGTATTGAGAGTTTTACTAAACTGCCTTTGATGAAGTCCCTGTCAATTTATTTTACCACAAATAGCATAGTGCTTCTTTTTCCCACATTCTTATTGACATTGGATATTATTAATCATTTTTATTATTGCTAATCTGATTGGTGAATCCATTAAGTTGCTTTTTCTTATTGATTTGTAGATGCTCTTCATGTATTATAGACATTAACTTCTGATTTATCATATGTTTAATCTTCCATAATGTCATTTGTTGTTTAATTTTATTTAAGCACTTTTTCTTTGAGAAATTTTTTAATTTTATGTAGTTAAAAGGTAGCTAATCTATTTTACCTCTGGTTTCTGTTTTATTCAAATTTCTCCTCTCTTTCAATTATGGCTCATTTCCTTCTTCTACACGTTATTCCCAGCAGCATACAAACACATATTCTTACCAATTAAAAGAAAGAAAAACCTACTTTCACTATGTGTCTTTCAGCAGCTACCTTCCCATTTCTCCCCGAGTGTCTGTATTTTTTATCTCATTTCTTCCTGCCCAGCCTCTCTTGAGCCTACTTCAAGACTTTATTTTCTATAAGGGTTTCTGAAATAGCATTAGGGTCACCAGATACCTCCATTTTGCTAAATCAGTGGTTCAGTCTTTATCTTACTTGACCTATTAGCAATATTTGATACAGTTCATAACTCCCTTTTCCTTGAGACATCTTCTTTATCACTAAGCCTTTGGGATGCCACTCTGATTTTTTTCTCCTCTAATGTCACATATTTATTGGTTTCCTTTGCTGGTTCCTCTGCAAGACGTTAAAGTGTCCTTCTTTCTTCTAGAGTAATCCCTATGCCTTCATGGCTTTCAATACTCTCCATATGCCCTTGACTCCCAAATTTCTATCTCCATTAGGGACCTGACTCCACCTCAGACTTGTAGACTTAGCTTCCTCTCTGCATGTCCTTTTGCGTGTTCATTAGGTACCTAAACATAACATTTCTAAGTTTAAAACTTGATTCAAATTATTTTAGTTTTTCTTCATTTGAGAATGTCTTGATTTCTTTTTAATTTCTGAGAAGAAACTCCCTATTTTAGCTAGTTTTCTCAGGTACTTCTCTGACAGGGCTTGGGAGGGTGACTTCTTGTTATTTCCAGGTGGAGGCAGAAGTCCAGGTTCCCCACTTGGACTTCTGTTAAGAATTAAAGGGGAGCTTCTGTTATTTCTGGGTGGGAGTGGGAGTTCCACCTCTCCACATGGTCTTTACTGACACTGTGGTAGGGATGGTCTCATTACTGCTTGTGGTGATGGAAGTCCTGACTCTCCACTAACCTTCCTCTGATACCATCCCAGAGTGTGTTGTTATTGTCAGATAAGGGTGGAAGACTAAGCTGCTTCTCATGTGGTCTCCACTGATGTCATGGAGGCCTTATTACTGGCTAGCCAGGGTAAAAGTCTTGGCTCTCTACTTCTTCTTCCCTGTCACCACCCTAGTGGACGTGTGGATACATAATTTCTGCCTCAAGAGGGTAGAAATCTATTGGGTTGTCGGGAAAGTCATGACACATTTTTGCATTGAAAAACATAGAAAAATATGTCATGACTTTCCCGACGACCCGATAGTCTCCCCACTTAGCCTTTACTGGCACAGTTTTTTTTCTGTGGTGTTTCACTGAAATATAGTGGTTATTTATTGTTTTTTCTTTTCCTTCTTTTTTTTTTTTTTAATTGGGGAATTGGGGAAGGGAACAGTGTTGAGGAATTGCAGAAGGGAACATTATGCTTTTCCAGGACCCATCAGCTCCAAGTCAAGTTGTTGTCCTTCAATCTTAGTTGTGGAGGGCGCAAGCTCAGCTCCAAGTCTAGTCGCCACTTTCAATCTAGTTGCGGGTTGAGAGGGGAGGGGCGCAGCCCACCATCCCATGCAGGAGTCAAACTGGCAACCTTGTTGTTAAGAGCATGCGCTCTAACCAACTGAGTCACCTGGCCGGCCCAGCATGGTTATTTTCTAAAAGGTTTTGTCTTGCTAGTCTTCCCCTTTGTTGGTACTTGGGCTAGAAAGAGCAGGCTCCACCCCCCACCCCCCCACCCCCCACCGCGGGGTGGGGTTTGCATTCATTAATTTTCCAGGTTGCTGGCTCTTCAGCCCCCCGTCTGGGTATATGAGGCAAAAAAGAAATCTAGGAAACTCACTACTGTGTTGTTCCTTGAGTCCTGAGGTCCCTTGCAGGTTTCCTTTCTTTTCTCCATCGTTCAGACTCTTCGTATGTTTGTTTTATAATATAACGTCTAGTTGTACTTAGTGTGAGAAATAGGGAGAGCACATCTTCTCACCTTTCTGGAGACAGAGGTCCTATCAATAGTTTTTGAGCTTGATCTTCATTGGGTTCCATATGGCTCTTCTCTGCACAGGTACCTGGAACTAGAAAGCAGTGGCCATCGCAATGAAGTCAGACTGCATTACCGCTCAGGCAGCCACCGCCCTCACACGGAAGTGTTTCCTTACATTTTGGCTGATGACAAGTGGCATAAGCTCTCCTTAGCCATCAGTGCCTCCCATTTGATTTTACACATTGACTGCAATAAGTAAGTGAAATGTTCTCAGTTCAGGAAATGAAAGAGTCTAAGAAATGACTGTTGACTCACATTACTTATCTGATATTTCCTTTTTTGCAGAATATATGAAAGAGTGGTAGAAAAGCCTTCCACTGACTTGCCTCTGGGCACAACATTTTGGCTGGGACAGAGAAATAATGCACATGGATACTTCAAGGTATCTTGGCTAAAGTCTGAGTGCAATGTGTAAATACAAATGCTTTCTAATGAGTTGTGAAAAGTACACTTTGGTTTTTATGGTGTGAAACAAAATAATTTGATTTGTATGGTTTTTCTCTGTTTATGTTTATTTCTATTTTTGTTTTTGTACACTGGTGTTTTATTTAGCTGACCAACACGTTCTCTTTTTTTCCCTAATGAGTTTGATCTTTAGAGATTACAGAGATGATCATGAGGCTGCAGTCAGGGCAGCTAATATATCATTCTTGAAATTTGACATTCAAAGTAATAAAAGTCTCAAATGTTAGTATACAAATAAACTCCCCACTATTGCAATATAAACTTTGATGGTACTTTCACAGGGATGTTAATAATAGGGGATTGAAAGAATATTCATTATTCATGGTCTCTTGTACTCTAGAAAGTGAGAAAGAAATACATACATGTGCACAAATCTATCAAAACTAAAAAGCAGTCGTAATTTATGTCTTCTTCAGTGTCTACTTAAAGATACACTTTGTAGATTTTCATGATTGTAGAAGATATAAAAGACGTGTCACTTAACTTGCTGTGTTTAAAGGCTGAAGAAATAAAATCCAGAAAATCGCTTGACTACAAGCCCATAAATATCACTTTTCCCCAGTGACTCCAACAGTGCCTGTAATACAGAATTGGCTTGGCAAATGATTGTTAAATAAAAGAATGAAAGGTGATGTGTCCAACTCATGTATTTTTAGGTAGAGTAGGTACCAGTAACTTTAAAATCGTGTTCTAAGCTAGGTTTATAATCCTGGAAAGGGGTATTTAAAACTTACTTAAACATTATCTGTTATCTGAAAGCAAGGTGCTTTGAATATGTTATTCCATCTAAATCAAGTCTTGCTGGCCCTGGGTGGGTTCTTTTCCTCCTCTTTTACATATGCACAAACCTGCTCAGAGAGGTTAGGTACCTTCTCCAAAGCTAATCATGGGGAATTGATCCCATTATTGCAAATCCTGAAAAATCAATGCTCTTTTCTCACGTAAGGGATCGCAAATTTGTGCTGCAAGTGCCAAGTTTTTTCTGTATTTAATCATGACAAGCTTTCCCATAGAGCCTAGATGTGTCCTTGGAATCCTTTTCACACATCAATTATATGTAGTCCCCTAGGGATCATACTTTTATTGTAGACTGTGAATGGTGCTCACTAGAGTTGTGCAGTGCACAACATGTATATTACTGTACATAGTAACCTTGTTTTTATGTTGCTACTTCCAAGTAATAGGAGTGTATATCCAAGTTGCCTCCTTAATCTAAACCCAGACAGACAGCAGATCCAGCAATTGCCACTCAGTGTACTAAGATGTTTATCATTCACATTGATACTATTAATCAGATAAAACATGTAGAAGATGTATAGGCCAATATTTGGTAAATTTTGTAGGTACATTCAAAATTGTCTTGACAATATATTGATACTGTCACCCCTGTCACGAGACATTCTGTTTGCATTTTTCAAAGGGATAAAGTGAAATATTAAAGAAAATATATAAAGTTGATGAAGGAAGAGAGAAGAGCAGTGGATGAAAGGAACAGCTGGAGTGTGTCTGATGAGGTCATTTCTGAGCTATCATTTGGCCTTTGTTTTAAGAGCCCCATAAGCTGAAAGCTAATTATACCTTAATGACTAAGGATGCCTGTAAATTATGCCTATAAACATGTAATATGACCCTCTGTGTAAAATAGATTATTTTCAGATGGCATTTTAAAAAATTGAATGCTAAACTTTTTGTACTCCTAAGGACTCGTCACTAAGTCTTGTGCAGCTGTTTAATCTATTGTCCTTTTTGAGTTAAGAAATTAGTTTTAAAAGATTCAACTGAAAAATGAGAAATGCTCAAATGAGCATTGCTTTTATGACTCAGTTTTTCTATTCTTTTCTTTTGATGAGTGCAATTAATTTAAAGTTGGTATCAGTTTCATTGTTGCTGAAACGAGAAGTGATTTTCAGGTAGATTTTTAAAGGTCATTTTCAAGTTCTACTTCATTGGTTAACTAAAAATAACTTCTTAAAACAACATAACTATTGCCTCTTAATTATGTCTTGACATTTAATCTGAAGGCTTTAAAAATATTATCAATAAGAGAGTACATGGGTAATCATCTGTTATGCCTGATGTATTTCTTACCCTTCAGTTTGAAGTCAGAGCAGTGTATTCCAAAAAAATTTTACTCAGGGATTTTGGTTAGTCTATCCTGGTATGTTTTCCATTGTGAACTTGACTGTTGAACATAAATTGAGTAGATGAAAGTAATGTTGTTGTTGTTTTTTAAACTTTTCACACATAGGGTATAATGCAAGATGTGCAATTACTTGTCATGCCCCAAGGATTTATTGCTCAGTGCCCAGATCTTAATCGCAGTAAGTCCATTCATTTTTGTACTGTGTGATGAAAAGTGTGCTTCTTGCTTAATTTTGTCCGGAATGTCAGTTTGAAATTGGAGTTCCTATATATTAGTTGTAGCATAGACTTAACCAGATTAAATCCCTTATAAATATAACTTGACAAATGTAGTGTTTGTAATTTCAGCCTGTCCAACTTGCAATGACTTCCATGGACTTGTGCAGAAAATCATGGAGCTGCAGGACATTTTAGCCAAAACATCAGCCAAGGTAAAAGCTACTTAGAAATGCAGTCTGGGGAGCTCAGAAATCCTGAGGTTTCTTATAATTCCTTTTATAACCACAGATGTTTACCTTTGAGACGACTTTTCTTATACTGTACTTTTTGCTGGGGCTAAGTCTAAATCTAAATCTCTGACCAAGGAAAGGGCTTATAAATAAATATTCAAACCCTGGCCATCTGTATAACAAATGATTCAGTAAATCAGGAATGAGACAGATTAGCTGGTTTTTACATTGCTTACTGTAACAGGGTTTATTTAATATTTATTTTATTGAGTTATTCTTTATAAGGAAGGAGACAAGAAGATATTATTGTAGAGAAAATGGGCACTAGGATTATTTCAAGGAAATGGTCCTACAAATGTTTTCTACCACAGTGGTACAGTTGTAGGATAATTCACTGTCTTAAACATGTATCAAGTTTACCTACAATTTCATCAGACTGTTGTCATTTTGCATAGTAGTTACTGGTAACCTGAAAGTTATGTCGTACGTGGATAATTTGTTTCTGGCAAATATAAATTCTAAAATTTATGTTTGCACTTGAGTAAACATATTTGTGAAATTAAGCATTTTTAAAAATGGAAAGTGATTATCTGTATTGTGGGTGATGCTATTTTGACTTACCCTTTATTTATGTCTTATAAATTTTGCTTTTTTTTTTTTTTTTTTTTTTACCAAAGGCAGGGAGCAGGTTTACAAAAAGAACAGGGGGAAAATCCCTTCTTTTTAAGTAAAGGCTTAAATATATTTATAACAAATAGTTGATGGGTACAGGAAATATTACTGCTGTACGCTAAAAAAATCCAACTCCTCCTGGAGTATTTTGCGTTTCTGCATTGCTGGAATGATGAACAATATGAACTCCTTCCTTTGTGCCACAGCTGTCTCGAGCTGAACAGCGAATGAATAGATTGGATCAGTGCTATTGTGAAAGGACGTGCACCATGAAGGGAACCACCTACCGAGAATTTGAATCCTGGACAGACGGCTGTAAGAACTGCACATGCCTGGTATGGCTTCCTCTGGAGTTCAGACTAAGGGAACTCAGATGCCTCCTGTCTTTAAAAATTTATTAAAATAATGTAATCATAAAAATTTCAAGACCCATTTTCTCAAGACACAACACTAAAGTGCCAGCAAACCCGGTCAAATCTAAAGAACTGTGTGTTACATTATTAAAGACACTTTCTAGCCTATAAAAATGATTATGGTTTAGGAATGCTATAAAATTTAATATAATGGTACACACATGAAGTAAGCAATTAAAATTAGGTTTGTAAGGTGATTCCCAAAGTATTTTCTCCTGTTACCCTAAACATTTCTAGGGGTTCTCCCCTCATGTGTTTATTAATATATTTTAATAAAATTAAGTTAAATGCAGCATAAAATATTGTGACCAGATTGGTCCAATGTAAACAAATAATGGCATTTAAATAAAGAAGATAATCTTTAAAAGTTTACAGGTAGAATGGGCCGGCTGAATGGCTCCGTTGGTTAAGAGCTCACTCAAGAGTGCAAGTTCTGAGCAACAGCGGTTCAATTCCCAGCCCGAGATGAGCTGCTGAGCTGCCAACAGGTGGCAGGATGGCTCAGCTAAAATAAATAAGTAAATAAATAAATAAATAAATAAATAAATAAAAGAGTTTACTGGTAGAATACAAATTATAGAATTTCAATAAATATGATTTTTCTAATTGCTCGCTAATCAAGTAGAATATTTAGTTTATTATTATTTCAAAAATATATGTTCAACTTCAAAGAAAAGTTCACAGTTAGCTTGGTTTTGAACTTTAAAATTCCACACAAATTCATCTGTTAAAGCTGGTAGACTGGAAAGAAATTAGAGGTCTATGTAAATTGGTCTGAAAAAAATTTCCCCAGTTCATCAAGTCTATTCAAAAGCAAAACATCATGCTGGTAAAAAAGTCAAGGTAGCTCTGAAATAATGTGTGTGTCTGTGTGTGTGTGTGTGTGTTTGTATAATATTATTTCTATTTAGGAACATTTATATTTTTCCCAAATTACAGCACTTGATAAATACAGTAAAGCCTTCCCAATGTGTTAACTGGGGGTCAAAAATCCAACTGAGTAAAATATGAGATTTGGTATAATGAAGTCAATCAAATGACTAGAAAAGCAGCTAGTAACCTGGGAATTCTGGGTAACATCCAGGAATCAAATTCCCTGCCTTTCTGTCTGCGGCTTGGTGCTTCTTGTGGTGATTGTAAGCACCTCCTCGTGGTGGTAGCTTTCCCCTCTTAAATATCCATGGGAAGATTCTGAGTCCTGAGACTGGGTCTGCAGGATGGCAGCAGCTATTCCAGAAATCTGGTTTGTTGATGCTCATTTTGTGCATAATCTGAGGGAGACATGAGTGCCCCAGACTTACCCTTAGCCCCCTAGTTCCTTGTCAGTGTGTGCCTTCCCCTCCACCCATGTCCTCATCCACCTCACTACACAAGGTGAGACTCTGGCTCAGTTAGCATTACCTGCTGGACAGAAGATGGGAGCCAATCACCTCCTGTGTTTTGACCCAAGCTGTATTACTGTGGGTCTCTGAGATATTATGAGATTTACTGTATAATAACCAAAGACAAGATTGGTATTTATGACAATTTATGTGAAGAGTTTAATATTTAAGAAACAAATTTAAAAACACTTGAAGACTACTAAAACACAATGTGAGAATTCTTTAAATATTGTTTTCTTCTCAGAATGGAACCATCCAGTGTGAGACTCTGCTCTGCCTGACACCTGACTGCCCACTGAAGTCGGCTCTTGCATACGTGGATGGCAAGTGCTGTAAAGAATGCAAATGTGAGCATAACTTCTCTGATGAATACTTTCTTTGGCAAAAATAAAGCTTTATAATAATAAATGTTCACCCATCATTGCTTTAATCTGGGCAAGCTAAATAGCTTCAAGAAAGATGGAAATAGGAAGAATATCTTCTCTATTTTGGTTGATCAGTTCTTTTCCATTTAAAAATGTTCCATTTTATTCTAGCAGGAAATTTTTTCTTGGAGGAATCTGTTCTGTATAATAACAGTAACAGAAAGATGTATAAGAAACTTAGTGTAAGGCATTTCTTTCATTAAACTACTTGACATAAATACTTTCCAAATAGGTCAAGAATGGTCCATTCTCAGCAACGATAACCAAAGAAATGCATGATACAAGTTACCTTCAACAACAGATAATGCACCACCTCCATTAGCCCAAAGCACAGAACTCCCCATTATTATAGGATCATCCAGTGTGGATAAGGCCATGGCCTTTTACTCACAAAAAGAGGCTCAAGAGGCTCACGCCATTGAGTGAGGAAGCTGTCCTGCCTTTTAGCAGCCATGCAGTTCACTCCTGATGGCAGGAAATGTTCTTTGAATTTGTAGCTATCCTGAAATGGCTTTTATATCATTCATTCAATACAGAAAACATTGCATCTATGTTACTTATACTTTAAGAGACTGCCCTTAAATCCTTGTTAAAAGGAGCATTTAAAGTTCAGCTATTTTTTTTTTTACAAAGAAATAGTACATAATGAAAACTGAGTTGTTACAAAGTTTGTTTATAGAATGTGTAGGGCTATGTACGTGCAATGTAATCATACACACACACACACACACACACACACACACACACACACACACACACAAAGACAGAGAGAAAGGGAAAGGGAGAGGGCAGAAGAGGGGGAGTGAATGGGTCCTGCTTTTGCTAAGGTCCTCAACGCTTACCCTGCGATGTTACCCTGACATTGCCATGCCTTGCTGTTGCCTTGTAGTGTGCAATGTGCTGTTGAGAGTGACAAGTATCCGTGAAAAATCAGGATGTTGTTTTGTAGTTCATTGATTTGATTCCCTCAGAAGCTCATTTACATTTAATTTTATTGGGCTTTACATTGAGACCAAACCATTTCATGAAAGGGTGAGCCTCGTCCAGTAGATTCTGCTGAACCAGGAAGGATTGAATGCAGTTGTTCGTATACATGTCATTAGCTAATTTTCTTGGTGGGGAGTCATCTGAGTCTTTCCTTGAACTTGTTTTAATAAATAAAAGTTTGTGGTGATCTGTAGTTTTTTTGCAGATAGTTGGAGGCAGGAGGGAGAAGCCCTTTTATAGGACTTTATATTCATAAAATGACAATAATGGGTAATCATACTTTTTGTTTTAACTTCTTTTACCCTTCTTTCCACTAATATTTATATGTTGTTACCTGTGACTATGATAGATTTGCATTAAGTGATGTCGATTTTATTAGAGACTGGCTGATTGGAATCATGGGTCATTGTGATAGATTCATTGGTGAGAAACACTAAATTTCAATTCTGATTTTACCCTTTGTCTCTCTGACCAACAGTAAGTTGCCCACTAAATTAGACTATACTTGAAATCTTCCCAAGAACATGCACTTAGACTTACTGAAATGGTAAAATATTTTGAGATTCATTAATGCAAAGTGCTTTTGGCGTACTTTGGTGTTAATGATTGAACATTGACTGTGTTTGCCTCATATATAAAATAGTGAAAGCTACAAGTAAGTAAGCAGTAAGGAGACCACAGCATCACTGAAGAAATTCCAAAATAATTTATTTGAAACTTTCATTTTACATGGCTAAAAATAATAAAGACAAAATGACTTTTTCTTTCTCGCCATATTCAGTGATGTAGGACTTGTGCCTATGTTTGTTTGTATTTTGAGTATTTGAACTTCAGTTCTGATGAATTCAGCATTTTGTAAGAGCTGTATTTTCAGTAAACACTCATGGAATCTTTTTCCCCCTAACAGAAGTAAGCATTTAGTTTATATGGTAAATTTTCCAAGAGATTATTTGGGACTGTGTCTCCATATGCACAATTTAAAAATCAGTCATTAAAAATATTTCGGGAAGTCTGCTTTTTTTAAAGTTTGCAAAAACTTATTTTATAAAAGATAAATAGCATTTAAAATAAATTTAGTAATCATTAACTGACTTGTTTAGATTGTTCAGATTTTTAAATATGCCAAAGGTGAGAGAAGCAATAGTTTCTCACTGGTACATGTGAGGGGAAGTACAGTCTTATTTTCCTGTTAATTTTTCCAGTATTATCATTGTTATAATTTATGAGAACTCAGTTTCAGTTGAGTATAAGTTAAGTTAAATGGCTTTTATTTTTTAAAACACAAACTTTTGCCTTCCTCTCATGCCCTGCGCTCATCCTGTCATTGAAACTCCTTTGCTCAAAGGCTTTTCAGTGACATAAAATTAACAAAATATATTCTGTAGTGAGAATGCTTTAAAGAGATTAATCATTTACTGTTTCTAAAAGCCCTTGGAAGCTAAAACACATAACCTAACTGCTGAACATTACTCTGCCAAGACTGACACGAACAAAGCAAGTACGTGTGCCAGTCATTTTTTTGATGTTCTTTATTTAAGGCTTTCAGGGTTGCTTCATCAGAGTTGTTTGTGCAACTCCGAGCAGCCCTATTTTGCAGTATGCTTTGTAATTTCCCTCTGTAACTTCAGCTCCAGCTCTTTATCCAAATATAAATAACTGCTGAATAGTAAGAAGGTTGTTGTCCTGGGAAAGAAGTCAGTGAGAGCCAAGCCTGTCACTTTTCTTTATTTGAATCTACATAAGCAAAGTGTTGGGACAATGGGCTTAACCTTTCCTGCCTCTGCTCCTGAGCTACTGTGGTGGAGTTGAACATAGACAAGATAAAATCCAAAGGCAGGAATGTCAATGCCAGATGGTTAAGGTAATGATAATCACAGCTCTAATGAAGTCTTATCAGTCCCACAGGTTAGAAGGCACACACTTTGTTCCTCATGTGATCTTCAGAACAATTCTGTAAGATAGGCATTGCCTCCATCTTCCCAGTGAGGGGTTACCTGGTCCAAGAATACGCAGTGAGAAATCCCAGAGAAGTTCCATTTGAAAGTGCTGTGCTTTGAGAGCCTATTTCCTTCTGTGAAACCATCCACTATAATTAATCTAAGCGATCCATTTTTGTCCACTGGTAACTAAATTTACCATACAAAGCCATTTGGAGTCCTGGTTAAATCTAGGTCAAATTGCAAAGTAAGCAGAGTTTGCCTTTGTCCCTCTCTCTTCTGCCCTTTGAGCCACCATCATCACATCCTTTATCCCAGTCGTAAGGTCTCAACTTGCCAACACCAAGATCGACTGTCACAAATTAAAGATAGCTCTAGAAAATGTAGAGTAGAAATATTTTCAGTGACTTTAACTCTGTAATATGATGAGGTCAAATTAGTTAAAGTACATAAAATCACAACCCAGGTTAAAAAAAATGAAGAATTATCAGAAAATAATTGTCTAAAGTTCGAGGAAATAGAAAGTTATGGAAAGTCTCTGAAATTTGGAAAAAATCTGCACATTCATTTATTTTGTTTCAGTGGATTATAGACTCAAGTTTCAACACAGAGTTCTGCTTTCCAGAAAAGGTGATTTATGAAAATGAGGAATCTGAAATAAATCTGAACTAATGCTTTGATATCTTTTACAGAAGAGCTATGTTTAAAAACAAAAACAAGGAAGACAGATTTTACCTGCCTTTTTAGAGAGACATCAAATACAGGAAGCGTGAATGTGACTATTCAAATTGGGTGGTGCTTGCCTAGCGCAATAGCTATTTTAATTGTTTTCTCAAAGAGGCCAGATTTATATGAATATATTAAAATCATCACTCTTCTGATTGAGCAAAATCAGAGTTTAAATATATAATATAGATTACATTTTAATATTCTATGCCCTGATTAAACATCAGATTGTATTAAATTTAAATTAAAAAGCTCTGTCAGTTTAGATAAAATGGAATTATTATGTCTTTTTGCATATTGAGTATTTAAGTATGTGGGTTATAGAGTTAGATTTCTCTGGATTTGAATCCCGGCTCTACCACTTAGCTTGTGTGACTTTGGTCAAGTTCCTTAAACCTCTCAGAGGCTCAGTCTCCTCATCTATACAGTGGAGACAGCAATTATATCTATTTATATAAGGTTGGTGGGAGGACTGAATGAGTAATACATGTGAAGTGCTTAGAACAATTTTAGCTGTTGTTTTTATTAAAAGAACCATTCATGTGTTTATTGATGAAAATACAAAATAGTGGAACTATCTTATTGGGTCATAGATCTTAAATTTACACAGGACCTCAGAGATCTTCAGAATAGCCATTTGTTTTTGAGGAGGAAGGTTTTATTATCCCCATTTTCCAGAGAAGTAACGAATGGGGCCAGGGAGGTTAAATGGCTTTTCTAAGATTAAACAATTAGTATATAATGTGAGGTAATTTTTTTTTTCCAAAATTGTGTTCTGATATTTGGCACTGCTTTCCTCAAAGCCATTCTATCTCTCAATATTTTGGATAGGTCTTGACCAAGGTCGACACTAAGAACCAATGTATCATGTATTATCTATTCTTTTTTCTCTGGCTTCTTTCATTCAAAATCATGTTTGTGAAATTTGTCCTTGCCTGTAGATGATCATTTATACTTATTGCTGTATATATTCTATTTGTGTTAATACACCACAGTCCAACCTATTGTCGAAGGGCAGTTGGGTGCTTTCCAGTTTTGGGTTATATAAATAGTTCTTTAAATACTTTTTACATGGTTTTTTTTTTTTGGTGTTATGCATGCCTGATGGGTATATACCTTAGAATTGTTTGGTCATAGGGTAAAACTTTTATTCTATGGCAAAATTGTTTTTCCCTTTGGTACAATTGTTTTTCCAAACAGTTTTCTCAAGTGGTTATAGCAGTTTACTCTGCCACCAACAATGTATGAACACTCCAGTTGCTCCACACCCTC